ACAGCAGTTTTAGTTTTTTAAGTACTTCGAAAATATTTTGTGTATAAATACCCATTGGGGTAATGAATAAAGCATGCTTCCTAGTTACATTGTATTTTCTATAAGATATCAAAGCCTAATTGGCACCTCTTTCTAACTTTTATTTTCCCCTCTTTCATCCTTATTTTCCTCTTCATATTTTATTTTTTCAACTTCTCTTCTAAAATAGTCAACAACCATGAATGATGAAAATTAGATCATCTTCTCAAAGGAAAATCCCTAGAGCTACAAACCTTTCATCAACGCTCTCCCAGATATTTTTTCTTCCCTCGCTAGGGTTTCCGTGGGATGCGCGCTCCGGCGGGGGGCCTCTCGCCCTCCCTCTCTGTTTGCTGGGGTGGTTCGCAGGGGTGTTTCTCGTTTTTCCCCATTCTTTTGTTGGCTTGTTCTTTTATTTTGCCGGATGGCCGGCAAGGCTTCTAATCGCCTTTTGGATCCGGGTTTTTTGGTTGGATCCAAGCAGTCTCGTTCTTTTTTGGATGTTTTGGCTAGTAATGCTGCGGATGTTGGTTTTCCACCTCTAAAAACTTGCTCATTTCGTGGTTTACATGCTGTTTGGATCTCTGAGGAGAAAATCGCTTCCTTAGCTTCACCATTTCAGTTTTCTCTGGTGGGTTTCTTTCCTTCTCACCGCCCTAGTTTGGACTCTATCCATCGTTTCTTCTTTAACCTGAAACTCTCGGCTGAATTTTTGGTAACCTTACTGGATGATACGCATGTGTTGATTAAACTGTCGAACGATATGAATTATAGTAGAGTTTTTTTGCCATCGTTCATATCTGGTTTTCAATTGCTACATGAAAATTACGAAATGGTTGCCTTCCCTTGATATCGGTGTGGAATCTCCTATTATTCCCATATGGGTCTCCTTCCCTAACCTTCGTCCGCACCTTTTTGCTCCCAAAATTCTTCATGCGTTGGGTTCCTTGTTTGGTCGCCCCCTAAAAACTGATTCTGCTACTTCCGTGGGTTCACGGCCTTCTTTGGCTCGGGTTTTGGTGGAATTAGATATTACTAAATCTTACCCTGAGAAAGTTTGGTTGGGGTCTGAGAAATTGGGTTATGTTCAACATGTTCAATTGGAGGTTTTTCCCTCTTTCTGTGAGCTGTGTAAGGCTATTGTGCACAAGCGGGGTGAGTGTCGTTCTGCTTCTTTTGTTCCTAGTCCGATTGTGCCTTCGAAGGACTCTTTTCCTTCTGCGAATGTTGTGGGTGAGGGTGTTGTTGGTGTGGCTGCTATTCAGGATGTGGCTTTGGGGGATGTGATTTCGCCTCAGGGTGTGGGCCTTCCTGTGGCTTTGGTTTCGGCTGAGCCTCTTTCTCCTATGGTCCCTGTCAATGTGCTTGATATTTATGTTTCTCCTGCTTGCCTTAATTCTAATGTTGATGCTATGGTAGAAGCTTTGCCTATTGTCTCTGAGGGAGCTGTGGTGAATGGTTTATCCGATGCTTTTCTTGGCTCTGATTTTGTTTCTCCTGGATCTATGACTGTCCCCACTGCTATCACTTGTCTGGGTAATAATGTTGATATTATTGGGGCGTCTGGTGTTAGTTCTCCCGTGCCTATTGATAAAGTTTTTGTTTTAAATGAGTCTGTTGTTTCTGAGGGTGCTGTGGCTGGGGTCTTGCATACTACTCAGACTGCTCAGGGGTGTGTTAGTGATGGTGGTTTGTTGGATTGTAATGTGAACTCTGTCCATACTTTTGTTGATAAGGTTGCCAGCCCGGGCGTCTTATCTAAATCTGCTGACCCTTCTCTAAATATGGAGCTTGCGGCTTCTTCTGCCTCCTCGCCTGGGTCTCAAGTGTCTTGCCCTTCGGCTAACGTGGAATTGGTTAATTCGGACAATCATCCTTGTGTTGACTTGGGCAGCAATTCTAACATAGTTAAGATTCCTATATCTGTGTTGTCTAATGCTAAAATGTTCGATCACGTGGCGAAGAATGGGAACAATTCAGTTTTGCGTCCTACTGAATGGTTAACTTTGGTGGATTCTCATTCTAGTGGGGAGGATGAAGATGTTTATGTGAGTGAGGATGAATTTATTGTTCGTTCTATCGGGAGGAAGAGGGGAGGTAGAGGCAATCGGCGAGGAAGGTAGCTTTGTCTTTGGTTGTCTCATTTGGTGGTTGTGGTTGCTGTTTTTTCAACATCTGCTTTGGTTTAGCGGCCATTACTGGGTGATTTCTTTTTTTGGCTCTCTGCACTATTGTTGTGGTTTCAGATGTTGGATCGGACGATGATGAGGAGGCCCCTGCTGCCCCTGTGTGGCCTAGCTGGTTGGCAACCTGGGTAGCTGTATTTTATTCTACTTATGGACAGTCCGTGTTTGGCCACTTGGCTGGTGTTGGGGGCCTCCGTGCTGAGTCCCCCTCACAACCCATTAACTTTTCTGCTAGCTTAGTTTTTTAATGGCTTTTTTTTTTCCTTGGCTTATGTATCTCTCTTTGTATCATGTGTTCTTATTTAATAAATTTTTTGTTAAAAAAAAAAAAGACGATGAAGACTTTTCTGAAAAGGAAGGAAAATAATTCACATATTGTTGACCCTTAGAATTTAATAGATCCAAAATTTGAACTTTGGGATGAAGAAGATTCCATGATTATATTTCTAAATATCTAGTTACATGCAACATATTTATAAGTAGTAACTAAAAGAAATCATTTTATCAATATAATGTTCCAATATAACACAAATAATGCAGATTGAAAGAATTTTATCTACATGAACCAAAACTTTTCATCGCAGTGCCTTTTAGTGTTAACAATTAGAATTTCTTTAAAAATTAAAGTACTAATACTAGAGCAGTCTAATGTTGGGTGAACTTCCCAAGAAGTTGAAATAAGAGTATAGAGTTATGAGCAACCTATGGACTAGCACGATCATACTCATCACGGGTTGATACACGAAGTCGACATGCAAGGTAACTTGATGATGCAGGGTGTCATAAAGTAAAGAATTTTTTTGTTGAACTCTAAGCTGGGTGCACAAAAACACACAAAGATTATAATTCTTAGTCCATCAAATTTTATTTTAACAAAAAAACTCCCATCTACTTTGATGCAATTTAGAATATATGTAAAACTCGTTACAGTTTTTTTTTTTTTTTGAAGATTACCCAAAATTTAAATTATGTAGGAGACTAAGTTTAAAAAATATATAATGATTAAAACTCACACTACAATAAGAAAGGCCAATTTATAACAAATTTGATCAAATCCCAATCACAAAGTATGTAGAGGAATGAATAAGGGCTCATACCAGTACAAGATCCCTTCACTTGAAAGTTATTATCAACACATACACAACACTAAAACAATTGATATCTAATAGCACTCACAAGTTTGAGAGAACTGGAATTTTTAATGCCTCAAGGATCACATACAAAATAGAAAAGACCCAAAATTGACAAATTTCTCAAAAAAACCAGAATCTAGGCAAAAATACAAGCTTTCAACCTAAAAATCCCATTAAGATCAAATAGCTGCAAGTCTGTATACGCCTAATCCTACAAAAAGCCACTTTCAGATCTTGCTACAGTGCCCAAGCCAAAAGCAGGACATCTCTACCTTTGTAATAGTAAAAAGCTGCGTATGGGAGGAAACAAATAAGGCAAAGCAACAACCAAACACCTCCAAAGAAGAAAGAAAACACTTGAATCACAAGTGAAAGAAAGGGAATTTCCAAGGCAGCAATTATTCGCAAGGACCAACCCGGGTACACAGTGTAGCCAATCAGCAATCCTATGAACATTAGACAACCTAACAACAGAGAATCCATCGTGTCATAAATCAGGGAACTAACAAATGAACCAAATTTGTCGAGGTTGCAGTTTTCTTCATCAAGAAGACAAGAACCATTTCTTCTGAGGCAACTGCTGACCGTCTAGTCATCCAATCCACAAGAATTGCCAGAACTAATTAGTTTACCAGCCAGAATCCGCCTCAAGAGGGAGACTGAGAACCAGCGATGGCAAGATCAATTGGAAGAAATTATTATCTTCTCGAATGAAGTAGTTCTCACGTCAGGTTCTCTGTTTAGTTCCAAACTTTGTTAATCTCAACAATTTGATTCTAAATGAATATTTGACTGCTGTCATCTGGATATTTCTTGATTGCAGTTTTTTGGTGTGACAACCAGTTCCCAGAAAGTCCCCACCCGCCCATCTCTGTTTCAACCAGAAAGCCTACAAGGTCCTACTGTTGCTAGCATCTACAAAACCACCCTGGCTGTCAAGGACTTCGGAATAATCTCGAGCTGCTGTGGAAAAGGAAACTACCAAAAGAATTTCAACATTCTCATTAAGAAAATTATGGAAATTTTGATTTTCCCTAAGACTGCCCTCAGTTAGTGTAGTCTTATATGTTTCAAATGACTGTAAGAATAGCTATTACCAGTGTCCTTTGGTTCTTTATAGACTAAATGCAAAAGTGCTTAATATTAGAACCAAAACCATCTAAAGCCAGACCTGAAGAGAATTGCTTTATTGGAATTCATTGTTGGTTCCCGGTTATATCATTGGTAAAGAAATATTTAGCTATCTCTAGTTGTGTAATCAATTTGGCAGTGCACCTTATTTTTCAATCTTCTATCTTCATTAATCCTGTATCACTGTTAGTAAGGAAAGTGGTATTTTTTCTGTTACTTGAAGAATTCAGTGGTATGTGAGTAAATAGTAAGGTTTATAAATAAGATATTTTTGTGTGCTATGAATGTAAATTCCCCAAAACTTAATTACTGCTAGCTAAATGAAACTCCTGAGATATCTATGCATTCATTGATGCCAAAATGGACATGGAGACCCCATTCAACATGAGTACTGCTTTAAAATTTATGCGTAATGTACACCAACAACGGCTGTAAACATCATTTCAAATTGAACATAGTCATCTGGATCTTGTGAGAGTCAAGGTCATGATTTACTGTAAATAACAATGTCCGGATAGAAAAATATACGTACCTGAAATTGCTGAAATTTTTCTCCATCAGCAGCTAGCTGTAATCTTAAATTCTTCTCAGTTTCCAACAATTGGGTTACCTGTTCAACATACGACTGCATCTGGGATTGCTCCTGAACTGACCTCTCTTGCTGCTGCTGCATCTTTAGGTCAACAAGCTGAAGTTCAAGTGTTTTCTGCTTTAGCTAAATGTTTCCATTCATCAGACAAGAAGAAGAGAAGTTAGCCTAATTGTTGTTAAATGAGGTTGAAGGATCTGTGATGCTTCATTCTAAAATAAATTCATGATGACCTTTTGAGCGAATTGTTGCTCAGAAAGAGAATATTGGTCAGCAAGAAGTACTAGTTTGTTCCTTAGCCTGCACAAATATCATATTGTAAAATAAAAAAATGATGAAAATTTTTTTCTGCTAATGAAAAATTTTCACCCAAAGTGCAAGTAATTTGAAGTTTGTAATTTACTTCAATAAATATAGAACTCTCAAATATATAAATAAATAAATACTATATATATACAGACACAGATACATAAATATATTATTAAATTATATATCATTTTAAAATGAAGAGTTCTAATTTTTCTTTAAGAATCAAATTTTAGGATTTTAAAAATCACAAGCGGCTTGTTTATAGTAGCAGAGATTAAGAAACCAAATGCTCCTAACCCTGTTTTATAAATACCAGAAAGAAATGAACTACATTACACCAGGAACTTCATAATTACGATTTTCTCCAAATGCTTGCCAAAGAATTTTAATAAAAATTGGAAAATTTCTCAGACTACAATTGCATGTTCTGTAGTGATATTTAAATTCTCAGAAATCATGCTTGTGTAGAACAGTAAGTGATTATGTTTTAATTTACTCGAACAGAAATTTCTTTTTGAGTTTCATATTTTGAGAACCTCACCATATACTGCCTTAAAAAGTAGCACTATCTTTTTCAGTGCATAACTATGTAGATGAAGAGCAAAAATAAATCCTGCATCATCATTATCTTCAAATAATACCCTTCAATCAAATGGATGTCTATGTAAAGCGATTATATACAGGCATTTATTCAGAATAAGCAGGGAATCGGTTAATGATCTTCTTAAAAAATGCACCGTCATGCATAATACAATTGGAAAGACGCTTACATCTCATTCTCTTTCAATTGAGAAAGACAGTCATGTTTCTGCTCTTCAAGCTTACTGTTTACATCCTAAACATGATTAAACAGAGATTTGTTATATTATTAGTAGCTAAAAGTACATAAGCAAATCAGAGGAAGATTAAATCATAAAAGAGCCAAGAGAAAAATGGCATTTGTTAACAAAACGCATTAATCTGGGTGGAAAAATAAAGTTGGATTCTTAGCTGGTTGTTCACCATACCATTAAGATGTTACAAAATGTCCATCCTTTGCCTAATTTTACCGATGGCGTGTTAAAGCGAGCATAACTTAATTAATTTCAAATAAAGACGGTATATTTACTTTGGAAAAGCATAAAAAAATCCCCGAGCATACCTTAATTGCATCATTAAATTTCTTAGACAGATCCAATCTCATATTTTGCCCTTCTGTTGATACCCGTTGGCACTCTTCCTGGAATATTTATTATTCACTAATAAAATATAAGAAAGACTAAGAAATTGGATAGAGGAGAGAAGAAAATCTCAATCTCCAAATAGGCTTCTTAAAAGTGAAAATATTAAGTATATGATTAGTTTACCAACTTTCTTTGTTTCCAACTGTAACTCCGTCAGGAAACAATTACATGCATGATCATTTGAAATAAAAAAAACTAAAGTTTCAACCCAAACTTTGAAATTTACTGTCAACATCAAATTCATCAGAAGAAATAACAAGAACCAAAAGTTTAGTGATTCTATACCATCCAAATAACACGGAGAAGATAAAATTACCATACAATGGTTCATGCTAAGCAAAGTAAGAAAAGAATTAGCATGTTTTCTCTGGCTTTCACAAGCAAAAGATGATATTCAACAAACAAGATTTGCTTTTAAGACATTTAATGCTTTAGGTGAAGAGTATTTCTGATTTCAGAACAAAATCCAGACTTGACTTTATCCACCTGTATGGAAAGATCTCTAACACTTAACTCAATATGTTCCACTCTATGTCCAGATTAAAAAACAAATTGCCGAGATGAATTTGAACATACAGTCAATTCAATATGCCGAGATGAATTAAGGAAAACAAAAAAGCTACTCTCAAAGATCCTTCATTTAAGTACTAGGAGGCAAGGGACATCTTACTTAATCACAGACATCTCATGAAATCCGAACCTGAATACTTTTTATGATAAGTAGGGGTAAGGATTCAGAGTCCAACATAGTTTAATTAAAAGTGTCACAACTTTTGATCCTTAAAAACTTATTCCTATGGATCCGAAAGGATGAATGCAGTGCTAGTGAAAATGTAAAATTAGACAGCTGATAGCAAGTTTAACGTGCTTGAAGACAGCGCTCTAAGAGACTCGTACATGTTTTTTTTTAAATACACTCTACTAGAGGTGTAAACGAGTCGAGTCGAGTTTTAGCACTATCGAGCTCAGCTCGTCGGTTGGAAAGCGAGCTCGAGCTTGAGTCGAGCTCAAACTCGACCTCGTCCCACTAAAAATGAGCCCGAGCCGGCTCGCGAGCAGCTCGATTCCATGCCAGATTTCACATATGTCCGATTTTCTATTTCTCCCGCCTAGTTTCTCATTTTCCCGCCTGTGTCCATCTCATATTTCAAAATTAGACAGCTTGCATTAATGAAAAGCAACTGTCACTTGGAACGAGGCAATGAGTATTATGAGCCAGCTATTAATGAGTTGTCACTTGGAACATCCCAAGCAGCAAAATTGTATATATTAAGTCATTTATTAAATTGTATTATGAGCTGGCTGCCATCTTTATACTATATGAATTAACATATAGATGAGGACATTCGACAGTGTAGAGTTTACCAGAGGAGAGACCAGAGATCTACGACCATTATTACACCACTCTATTTTTAAGATATTATTTGTATTTGATTTATTATTGCACCTTTTCCGTTTTTACCCTCACTTGAGGGAGTAGGTTCATGTGACCACAGGAGATACTTTTATCTTTTTTTTATTTTACTACTGTATTTGACTATTTATAGCCTCTCCTCCTCTTTGGGGAGGGTAATGATGAATATTATGAAAAATTTCCGCAATTGTGTTTTGGTGAGTCAGAGAGATCTTGTGAGAGTTTGAAATCCAGAGGTGAGGGCTAGGTACTACCCGTTAGTTGCAGGAAGTGTCCGAGCTTATGGTCTACTTCTTCCCCTCCCAAACCGCTGGCCACCCTCTCCTTCCCCTCCAAACCATCAGCCACCACCTCCTCTCCATTCACACCGTCAGTCCTAAGCCCAACCCGTCGGACCTACACCCCCCTAGCCTCAATCTCCTTCCCTCCCATAGCCGTCGGCCTCCCTTGCCCCACACCCTAGCCGCCGTCCACTCCCACCCCTCCCTTGGATCTAAATTATCCTAGTCTTTACAACTTTCCTCAAATAGATCGTGATGAATTTGGAAAAATTATTAATTAAATTTTGAATCAATTTCAAATTTGAATTCTTTCCTAATTTAATATGAGTTATATTTGGAAAGTTTCTCCATCAAATCAATTTGAATTTGAATTCAAATCAAAAGAGATATGGACATTAAATCTCTTTTAATTAAATTAACTTTGCTGGGAAACTATTTGAAATCCATCCTAAATCCTCCTTCCCTCCCTTAACCGCCGGCCCTCCTCTCTCCTCTCTAAATCCTATTTCCAATTAAGGCTCCCCAACTCAATTCCCCTCTTCCATATGGCCGGCCCCTTCCCCTCCTCTTTCCCCCTCAATTACTCCTCCTAATCTCCTTCTATTTTCTGCCATTACCTTCCCTCCAACATTCTCCCACTGCTGTCCAAGGATTCTCGCAAGGGAAAACCTGCTGCCCTGCTTCCCCGACTCCTCTAGTTGCTGTCTAGCACGGTCCTTGCTTGCTGTCCAGTTTTCCTGGGCATCTCTATTGGCTGTCCAAAAATTTTAGCAAGGTTTCCTTGCTGTCCTGCTGGCCGGAAAGCCCCATTTGCTGTCCAGAAGTTCCAGCACCTTGTAATTTGTTGTCCCCTCTGATCCAGAACACGACGACGGCTTTGTTTTCAATGATCAAGGGCTCATTGACATCCTCTGGTCTCCGTTCTTCGACATCAACTTTGAGAACGACCAATCTGTTGACGAATACGTAGAGAGGGTCCTCTTCTCCCTCGTCACCGCTATCGACCAACAACACCCTCCCGTTCAGTGGCGACTTGCTTCCGAATCCTGACAAAGGTGAACTTTCCTCTAAGTCTTTTCTCTTCTAAGTTTTCTCTTCATTGTGGCATCATAAAGGTTATGTAAGCTTTCTCCGTTCTCACCAATTATCAAAGAGCTGAGTGAGGAATTTTACATAGTGACTAGTATGAATGTTAATATAGGGATTTCCATTGAAAACTTACATGTATGAAAAAGCTTGGTTTGAATTGATTATTTTGTCCTCCTAACGAATATCGTGTAACTGATTGTCTTATCTATTCATCTCTTTATTATTTTCAATCTTTCATTTAAAATTGCTGTAAGTTGGATAATTGTGATTACTCCGAAATAAGCGTGTAATTTCCTCCTGAAAATCAGCCCACACATCTAGTCCTACATCACATAAGAATTGATGTGTCCCGTATCCGTGTCGTCGTATCCGTATCGGTGCAACATAGGATAGAACTATCATTGAGCATGCTAGGAGCATGAGGTTGTATGCTGGTCTACCCAAACAGTTATGGTAAAAAGTTGTGAATATTGTTGTTTATCTAATCAAATGTGGTCCATCAGTTCTCCTATATGAGTGATTATCTGAGGAAGCTTAGAACGATAAGGAGGTTTTTCTCACCTGAGAGTCTTTGATTGTTCCTCTTATGTTCATATTGATGCAGGATCTAGAGATAAACTTGATGTAAAGTCTATCAAGTGTACATTTATTGGATATAGCTGAGATAAATTTGACTATAAATTTTGAGATTTTCAAAATCATAAATTCATCAGGTGCAGGAATGTCACATTCAATAAAAATGAAATTTACAAGGATAGAAATGAGACTTCAAAATTTCTTCCAATCATCTTAAGATAAAGGATGGTAATGATTAGAAAGATAAAGCAAGTAGATGAAGCACAAAGAGTTCCTCAAACACTTACTACTAAGTTAAGAGATCCAGTAAAATCTTAAGACCAACACAAAGGCATTCTCCTTCTTTGTACTATCTATTGCTGTCAGATGGTGGTGAGCTATGGTGCTATGAAGATGCCATTCAAGTTGATGATTCAAAGAAGCGAGAGCGAGCCATAGATGATAATATGCATTCCACTTAAGTTGAATCAAACTTGAGAATTGCCTGAGCTACCAAATGGCAAGAAATCACTACAGAAAATGTGAGTTTACAGGCTGAAAGAACATGTTAGTAGCAAGCTCTAGAAGGCTAGGCTTGTAGCTAAATGTTTTCAATAAAAGGAATGAGTGAACTATACTAAAATTTTCTCTCCAGTGGTGAAGATGACAATGATCAGAGTTGTGTCGAGGATATTAGTAGTGAAGGATTTACATCCATAATAGATAGATGTGAAGAAAGCATTTCTTCATGGTGGTCTTAAAGAAAAGTTATATATACTACAACCTTAGGGATATGTGATCTCAGGCAAAGAATATTTTGAGTTTAGGCTCAAAAAGGGCTTATATAGGCTGAAGCAGGAATCAAGATAGTGGTACAGGAGATTTGAAGTATGAGAAGTGCTAGGTAGATCTCTAAATTCTCCCAATATTTTACCAGCAGTTAACCACCTACTTGACCAAAAAGACCAATTCGTTCAATTTGCATAATATGGCGCCCAAACTAGTGGGTTTCCGAAAATCATGGACAACAATGCAGTTGCACTTACTAAAATTAAAGCGCACACACTTTATCTGAAAAGGTTAATAGACAATAAACTACTAAATTCAAATTTCATCTATGATAAAGAAAAGACATAATATTTCATGATTAAATTGGGAGAATTTTACCATTAGAATTTTATTCTGACGTTGTAGCTCCCGACAAAGTGACTCTAGTCTATCCCGCACCGCAACAGCTTTAACATGCAAATAAGAAAATAAAATCAGGTATTGCAATTGTTTTGAAAAGAATGCCATAATAAAGATAGATCTTATTTCAAAGCAACTATGAAAAGTAAAAAAAAAACCATAAAAGAAGACTCATGTGGGACTACCTGAGCACACATCATTGCGCTACAACATTGGGTAGAATTTAGAGCCTAATGAAAGAAAAAGAGAGGGAAACTCAACATTTCTCAAAGATTAGCAGCATCATTCAAATTTATTACTTTCCTTCAATAGAGCCTAAATGTTCCAGAATGCATGAAAACAAGGGATTCTTTCAAGCACAAACGTGGACAAAATAACCTCTAGAGTAGCACCGTAGTGAGACATGTGAATGAAGCGCATAAACCTGGAATGGGTCATTAACGAGGTGCAAGCTGATAATAGAATAACCAATTCCTCAGGTTTTCTAGCTCATAACAAAAACAGAACAACTGTTTCCAGAAACAAAAAACTGACGGAAAAGATCCATTTCAAAAGATTATGCAATGAAATAAGACGTTCAAAATCCAAAGGCAAAAGAATCATAATCAGAATTTACTGCTTATCAGTTACATGAATTGACAAAACAAATGTGAATGCATAGACACCTCATAATGGCCTCATAAATTCTGAATGAAACCTTAATTAAAAATTTAGGAAGAAGCCATCTCGGACAGTGGTATTGTTGACAGGTATAAACCAAGAATTGGACCTTATTGTGGACCTTGGTGTCAGGGGGGCCTGTATTTGTCTTGACTAATGCATCATACTATGTATTAAAAATAATCAAACTAAGAGAATACACAGAATTTGATATTATAATTTTAATTAAACTCATAAAACCACAAATAATAAAACTATAACTTTGTGAGAAAAAATACAAGAGAAAAAATTAGCAAGAAGTAGAACAAGAATAAGGGGAAAAGAGTGATTTGCCAGGTTACGTGATGAAGAAACAAGTAGTGGAGAACATACAAGTTGGCACGTAAAATTCGTAGGGAAAAATATTAAATGGCTGCAAGAAGAGATCAAATGCCTAGCAGAAGCAAGTACAAGGAAAAAAGCTTTGCAAGTCACATTTTTTGACATGATGGCCTCTTCCATTATGAATCCATGAACCATTGCAAAAAAAAAATTCTTCTAACAAAAATGCCCCTTACTCAATTATCAAGTGCTTAAGATATAATATTTAAGTGCCCTAAAGCACTTTTATTCCATATAATTTAAGATCTTCACTCATCCTCCTTCATTAACATAATATTTGTGTTAAGAAAGGTAGGGGTAGACCTAAAAAGACTTGGTTAGAAAATATTAGGAATGACCTTTCTTTATTAGATTTAAACGAGAATTTGACTTTTAATAGGACACAATGGAGAAAAAGGATTCATGTAGCCGACCCCACGTAGTGGGATAAAGGCTTGATGTTGTTGTTGTACTCATCCTCCTTCATTAACATTCAATGGAACAATTGTCTTTATCTGCAACTGCAAGATGATATTAGTTTTCTTGATATTGATAAGCCCACCTGAAGGAAATTGGGGCAAGAAACTTATGACAAAATGTGTCAGTTCTACAGTCGCACAGCATGTTCCCAGTGAACCCTTTCAAAAATAACTGTACAACAACAACAACAAAATCAAGCCTTTATCATCCCACTGCGTGGGGTCGGCTACAGCAATCCTTTTTCTCCATTGTGTCCTGTTAAGGGTCAAAGTCTCATTTCAACCTAATAAAGAAAGATTGTTTCTAATATTTTCTAACCAAAATTTTTAAGTCTACCTCTATCTTTCTTAACATAAGCCAAATCTAATACATCTACTCTTCTGACCGGGTCATCGGAAGGCCTCCATTTTATATGACCAAACCCTCTAAGGCGACTCTCTCTAATCTTATCTTCCATTGGAGCTACTCCAACCTTTTCACGTATATGCTCGTTTCATATACTGTCTCTAAGAGTAAAACCACTCATTCACATGCATCCCCATCTCTGCAACACTTAACTTAATATTATGCTTCTCCTTTAATAGCTAACATTCTGCAACATAAAGCATTACAGGTCTCACCACCATCTTAAAGAATTTTCCCTCAAGTTTGAGAGAGACTTTTCTATTACACAACAAACCAGATGCATTCCTCCACTTCAACCATCCAACATAAATTCTACTAATAATATCCGCATCTATTTCACCATCACTCTGAACATTAGACCCAAGATGTATAAAACATGTACTTTTATTAATGATTGGATCACGCAAAGTAACAACCCCCACTAGATCTATTCTATTAAAATATACTCCATATATTCGATTTTTGATCTACTCAAACCTTTGGACTCTTAAATCTATGATAAATATATTTTCTACCAAAAACTTCTTTCTATTATTGTCATTATAAGAGTACATCCAAGCTTTCAGCAGCGATGCAAGGGCTCTGAGAAAGCCTACAATATATTTGTTCAGATATTCTAAAATATTTAACCATTACCTATAATTTAGGTCAACCTGAGAATTACAGGAAGATTTATGTTAACCCTTTTCTCAAGTAAGGAAACATCCCCCCCTAACGAATCACAAATTATAGAATGGCCGCTCAGCATTGCTAATGCAGAATTGTGAACAGTTCAAGGGAAAAGTAGTATACTTGCCTGCATCTCTTTCGGAAATAACTTTTTGATATTTCAAAGTTAACTCCACGAGCTCCTTTTCTAGCTTTGAGCTGTGTTTGCCAGCCTTGCGTTTCACTTCTATAGTTTCCTATAAAACAAAAAACGTTTAAAATTACAGCAATATGTATATTTTAATAAGTAAAAATAGATAACTTGGGCTTCAAATGTTAACCATATAACTGCAACGTCAGCTGAAAAGAAGCAATACTGAGCTACGCAAAATAAATTAATTAAGTAATATCTTGGTTCTTTATTGTTGTTAAAATGAAGTAATGCAGATAATGATTACTTAATGGGATCTGCAAAAGATTTATGAAATATAAGTTGAATGCAACCAGATCGATGCTAAAATGCAAATGTGTGATCACCGTGTTATCAATGCTCTTTGTATTAGCACTAACATAATGCATAAAAATTCAAAAAGGCATACTACAAAACATTTTGACAGTTCCCAAGGTGCTTTTATGTCCAACAGAAACCCTACTGATTGTCTGATTGGATTGTAGCTACTCATGAACTTATTCATTCCATCAAGAAAAGAAAACAAGAGTTTTTTTTTTTTTTTGGAAAAGGTCTTTGATTGTTGTGCTTGTTATTTCCTATTTTGCATTCTTAATCATAGTTTTTTTTTGTTTTCCTTCTATATTCATTTGTTGGATTAAGGAAGTTATTGTGCATGTCAATTCTCCCTACTAGCCAATGGTGAGTTGAGGCCTCAATTTAAATGTCATAGAGAGCTTCTTCAAGGTAAAACCCTGTTGCCCTTTCTTTTAACATTATGGCTGATGTTTGAAATAAAATGCTTAGCGTTGATGCTCAATAAATAAATCGATGGGTGTTGTTTCAACGAGAACTCAATATCTATTAATAGTATTCAATTTGTTGGCAAAACTCTCTCTTTTGTGGAGCTACTAAAGTGCAAACTATTTACTTAAACTTCAGAAAATCATCCCTTATATACACTGAGAAACTTTGGTCAAACTAATTACCATGCTAATATTTTGGGTTGTAGAATCCCTTATTTCAAGCATCTCAAGCAACTTGGTATCCCTCTTGGCTCCGAAACCATTCATAAATCTATTTGGAATCCAGTCATTGAGATCATACAAAACCAACTTTCTAGATGGAAAGGTAGATTCCTTTCTACTAGGGGTGTAAGGGTGACTCTCATCAAATCTGTCATGACTACCCTCCCCTTTGTATTATTTTTATTATTTAAGATTCCTTGCTGGGCATCATTGTGTATATTTCAAAAACTCAACCAAAATCGCATGTGGAGACAAAAAAAAGGTACAATTGTGCAACTTACAAACAGAAAAAATGTTCATCCGAATCAAATAGCACACAAACTAGCTCTCATTTCACAAAACAGGCTATCTGAATGCGTTTGGAGTTTTGTAGATACTTAAAGAGACATTTATGTGCCGCTCAAGTCACCATGACAAGCCAGGATCGAAAATTTGATACACATTAACAAGAATTCAAAAGGAAATGCATGATATTATAAAAATAATTTAATATATGTTTATTAAATGTATTAAATAATTTAAAGCTTCATACTTGGGCTAGTGGCCCATTCAAAATTCTTAAAAAACTTGAATCAAATACATCTCCTTAAATTATCTTTTGATATGTACATACACAACACAACATCAAGCCTTTGTCCCACTACATGGAGTAGGCTACATGAATTCTTTTTCGTCATTGTGTCATGTTAAAAATCAAATTCTCATTGTCTTTTGATATGTACATACATCATATTTTTAATATTGAGAATATATTGTCTTATCAGGGTATTATTAAGCCTCAAATTTTGCAAGATAACCTTATTGCAGAAGATGCAAGTCTAATTTTGTAGGTTCCTAGTATACCCCACAATTCTAGGATATTAATGTCATCATTTCAAAAAAACTCTCCTCACCAACATGCACATCACCCAAATTTTTTGTCAAATTAAAAAATCAATCTCTTTTTTAGGACATTTGGATGAACAAAGAAGACAAGTCATCAATCCATATAATAGTGTTTTATTGGTTTGCACTTTTCAAAGTTATATGGGCTTAGAAAACACTTTTAAATATGCTCTTGCTTTGCATTTTTTAATTCATAAAACAAAAAATATTTTTTGCAAGAACAAATTTTATGTGAAAAGGCTTGGTGGCAATTCTACTCTCCAATGAAATTTGTTGGCCAATCCCTTAAGGCTTTGATGCATCCTTAGTTATTTTTCCTCGCCCTTATTCATCCTCTTTCCCAACACAATTCCCATCTCCTCTTTATATAACCACAAGCCTAGCTTCCTTCAAACCCAAAATATATCCAACCTCTTCAAAACTCTCTCAAATAATCTCTCATATCTCTCATAACCTTTTAAGGCCTTAACTCCCCAATAACCCTAAGATATCGTAATCAAAATCCTAATATAGACATACAATTTCCTACTATGAGCAACCGAATTAAAAATATCATAACTCCTTAACCACTAATTCTAAATCCATAAGAATATCAATATTAGCTCCATAACATCTCAAACATTTAGTCTAGAATTTCTCCCCCTTTTTCACCAAAAAAGGCTTAATCTTTGATAGCCTTGAAGTTTAGGCACCAAATATATTCAAGCCTTGAATATTCATTTCACCACCACCCAAATAATCCTTCCGCCATCAATCAACTTGCTACCTTCATCATAAAAATCTTATAGATTCCACACCATATAATAATAGCATGGGTGTTCCACCTATATATGCTATTTAGATTGACAGCCCTTATCAGCACCAAACATAATTTTTACTTGAGAAAAATAGAAATTGTCCATATATCCAAATACCATCTGTCTTAAATTTATTGGATCGTTGGAATCTCATAACGGTATATAAATCCTGTTTTAAAAATCATTCATTCTCAGGTTAGTTACAACCTTTGATGCAAAAGAAAATATGGCTATAGCGTAGCAATTATTGCCATAACCTGATTGGTCATTGAAACGGGATAACTCATGTTCACATGCAAAACATATGCTCCCTGTAGACAGTTTTGAAGAATAAGTCTAACAAATAAAATAGAGGGGTTTAAAGCACAAAGGCCAATAAATTAGACTAATATGGATAAGAAGGATACAAGATTATCAAAGCTCTTCAGGACCCAAACAAACATGTATCCAGCATGTTTTCCAGACCCTCTTGGTCTACTCCCTTGCTTGCTTGTCCAGGCCCCATCTATAATATGTATATTTCTTGTTAAATGCTTTGGAGTTTACTTTCATTATGTTGGGTTATTATAATTTTTTACAATTAATTCATCCACTGTATTAGACATAATGCTGATGACTAAAAATTGGCCATCGATGATCAGACAGTTCTATGTGAGCTTAATTGAATTGCCGTATGAAGGGCAAGATCCAACTCGTGTGCATGGAAAACCTACCAATTGTGTTCATGGAGTTTAAAAAACCTAGTGCCTAATAATTCAAGATTCATTCCATCTTTCCCTCAAGCTTTTGGTCATGTTTTTTCTCCTACTTCCTCTTAGCTTCAAGCACTCGCTCTTTGCTTCATGCCAAAAAGGAAGCAACAAAGGGAAGGTTTTAAACCGAGAGAAAAAAAGGAATAAAACATCTTGAATAATCAGGCACAAAGTCTAGGGATTTCAAAAAACAGTTTTAAGTGATCCACGAAAATAACTTCGATCTTTTAGGAAGCGCACAGCAACCCAATAAATTTCACATAGGAGCCTCTTCCTATAGAGGATGGTTCAAGACTAAGATATTCTAATAATCATAAATAAAAAATTTAAAAAACAAAGTCCATATACGACATTACACAAAAAAATAATAGCAATAGAATTGACCAGCCAAGCATGGAAGGAGGACAGGGGGATCTGCCAAACAAGTTGGAGGCATGTTGAGTTAAAGTGATGGGGGACATCAAAGCATGGAAAGTATATCAGAGGCGTGGCCGTCGATCTACGGTCACGATCAAGTCGATGTATTTTTGAGTCATTTCATGTATTTGTCTTTTATTATTTATGTTGGAGTTGTTTTTTCGTTTTACCCCTTACGTAAGGGAGGTCGTATATAAACCCTGAGGGCATTGTCGTCTTTCTTATTTTGAGTCTTATATATGAGGCTATTTATAGTCCCTATGTTTTTCTTTGAAAGTTTAATGAATGAATGATGAATTTTCTTCCTCGTTTGATTTCTTTATGAGATCTTGAGAGTGCATGAGTGAAATCCTTATGAGAGGGAAATCAGATCACCCACCAACTTTGTAGATTGTCGGGTGGTTCGTGGTTCCTTGTCGTTACCCCTTTATCCTTCTCTCATCTCCTAGCCGATGGCCAAGGCTTCTCCCAAACCCTTAGCTGTCGGCCACTTCTTGTCCCACCATCGCCGCCGCCTACAACCCCCACCACCCAAACCACCGACCAACCTCACCCCACAGAAATCCCCCATAGAGCCCACCAAGCCGCCGGCCCCCCATCTCCCTTCCCTCCAAGTTTCAAATTCACTCTTGATTACTTTCCATAAGCATCCACTCTTAAGTTGGGAAGATTTAATTTCAAAATTCAAACTTATTTGAATTTGAAATCCTTTCCTAATTTAGGAAACCTATTTTTAGAAAAAGTTACTTAATTAACCCCCTTTTTGAATTTCAATTTTTAAGGGGATTTAATTATTTCTTTCCTAATTCCTAAATCTCAAATTAAGCAACCCCAAATCCTCCCCAAATCTCAAGGCCCCACACCTCCTAATTACTTTCCAAAACATGATATTATGTTTTGGAAACAAATCCCTCTTTCCCCCTCTCTCTTGCCACCACCCCTACCCTCTCTCCCTCTTCTTTAATTACTCCCAAACATAGGGATTAATTAGAGCATTGTTTGGAAACCCTTTCCCTCCACCAAATCGGAATCAAATTAAATCTATCGCCCTCTTCCCTTGGCCGGCCATCCCATTCATCTTCTCCACTTCAATTTTGAGAGAAACTTCTTTCTCTCTAGTGGAGTTTCAAAGGATTGATGTTGATCTTCGACTACACATCGACCGATAAAGCCAATGAATGGCCGATCCGGAGGTTGACTACGGATTTGCTTACGACAATCAAGGCACCGTCAACATTCTCCATTCTCCGTTCTTCGACTACAACCCCAAAGTTGATAATTCTATTGAAGAATACGTGAATCGCATTATCTTCACTCTATTGGAGGCCATCGACGAGCAACTTGTCGGCGCCAAGTGGCAAATCGTCTTCGAACCTTCCCAATGGTGAACTTCTTCCCTTTTCATTAACTTTCCTAATCCCCTAATCTTGTAGGTGGTGACGAGTCACAAGGAGCCGTGTTTCGCCTTTTGCCTAAGCTTAGTAAACGTAGGAACTTGTTTCGCCTTTGTCTAAGCTTAGTAAACGTAGAATTGAGCGTACTTTTTATGCTTCTAATCTTATTGTTAGCGTAGGGATTTTGTTGAAAGCTAATTCATTTGCTTATTGTTGAGATTCTAAATTATTTGATACTTCAAGCGTTTGGCAAGTGGCTTGGCCTAAACATAGGCACCCTTCTCTTGTTTTCTTTTATTGTTTTGACTGTTAATAGTTTAATCTTAATTGTTTTATTCAAGAAATCGTGCAAGTTCTTATCGCATCCATTTTAAGCATTGTAGTCCTACATCATAAATCCGTAAGGGTCTATGATAGTCCTGCAATAAGAACATTAACATGGCTTATGCAAAGAGATATGCTGTTTGACTAACTTGTTTATTTTGGCATGTCAAGGACCCAGTGTGTTCTTCTGTATGGCTTTCCTTTAGGCTACAGGCATGCAACTCTAAACCTCCTTCAGTGCCTGCAAAAGAGAACATTAAGAAGGTGCAATAACTAACCTTTGAAGCAAGTTTTCATAATAATGGATGTTAAAGAAATCTTTGCAGTATTACATTATTAACAGGAAATCAATTTTAAAAAATGTAGACTTATATTAGGAAATCCAAAACAAAGGTCAAAAGCCATCTTGGTATAAGTCTTAAATATATATAGGAGTCTCCAAAGAGCGCATTATTAAATGTTTTTGTGATGGTGTGTCATTACGGCAGTTACCATTTCCAGGCTTATGCTAAGGAGCTCAACTTCAACATAGTCATCGGCCTATCTGGCTGGTTATGGACAGTCACTACTCTCCCCAACAAAAACAATAAAAACCACATATACGGCAGAAGAGTCGGTTAGGGTTTATAACTGCACAATTATGTTAGGATGACCACTAAATTAAGCAGGCGATTTTGGGATAAATATAAATTATCTATCCTTTTCTTTTGGAATAAAGTTAGTTTTAAAACTCATAACAAATTTTGTTATTTTGGATAGCTCCAAGTCAATTTTAAAACCTAATTTAGATTTAAAATCAACCACATTAAACCCCTAAAAGTAGCACTTAAGAAACAGAGTGAGCATTGCAATACATGCATAGGTGCGAGCTACAGTAAAATTCAAAAGGTTGATTTCCATTGTTTCAGCTCACAAGACTGAATGAGGCTGGCAGCTAGATGCTTGGAAGGTTGAGATAAGCTTTTGAGTAAATGTACAAAGAAATTAAGTGGGCTTTGCTACAAGTTTAATAGGTTAGGCAGTTGTTTGAACAATCAAAAGAGAAGAAGAATTAAATAACAAAAATGAAGGGTGGGGTGGAGGAAAGAGTATAAAAGATGTTCATTTTACTCATTTTTAGTGACCTTAGAGGCAGTGGCGAAGCAACGATTGTTTTAATTTTAAAAATATCCTCAACCTATCATCAAAATTTTTTTTCTTAATTGAAAATTTATAAGCATAACATCTAAATTGATTTCTACAAAAATTTATTTGAAATGTGTATAATTATGCTATAAATAGTACCATATTCATCTGCTTCAATTTAACCTATGCTTCCAATCAACAAGCTAGCTAACATCGATTGTATACCCAGATAAGAAGACTATCTTCTCCCTTATAAGGTGGATTGTATGCCCATATAACATTTCATAACAAGCAAAGCATAAACACATTGATTCCTCTTTGTTTAGTTACGACAAATTAGAAAATGATTTTAAGAAATAATTAGTTAATTTATTAATTTTTATCTTCAAATTGAAGATAACTCAAAATTAATTAATATTGATTTTCAATTGTAAAAATAAAATAAAAAAGTCAAACATGATGAGATAATCATCACAAATGAAATAAGCAAGAAATAAAATTAATTTACTTTCTAAACTATATTTTTTATCTATAAACAATATTGCATACATTAATTCATTTCTTATCAAAGAAAAATTGGCCTACTTTAATGCATGATAGTTGTTTTAATATGTAAGCCGAATTTGTTTTGAAAGTATGTGAAGAAAATTATCAAGATATATAATGTATATTTTCTTCATAGTTTTGTATACAAGCATGAATAATGCACATGCAGCTAGAATAATTTGGCCATTTTTTTAAAATAAGTCTTTGTTCCATATCAAAAATTCACAAAAAATAGCAATGTTGTAATTACGAAATAATAAAACATTATCAAGTACATGCTTGAAATAAATAAATGAGCTAACTAGTTTTATCAGATTTAACGACTGCCATTCTTGATTTGGTTCTTATAAAAAGAGGAAAGTTTCAGCTAATTGATTGTTCATGGGCCAGCCAATTATTCCAAAAAAGGGCCGGTTGGGGCAGGTGTCCCCAAGGCCCCCATTGTAAATCTGGCGATGCATACAGTACTATCTTGATGCAATTCAGGCAAGTTGGTACTAGAAACAACATGATGATTCCATGGATAGACGATGGTACCATTTAGAGGAGAAATTCAGGGGAGCATTTCTAGTGTTATTTTAAATCTTCTATAGTTATTATTATTATTATCGTTGTTATGTGATTCTCTCGAGTGTTTGTGATGCATGCACGGGGGGAGGGGTCAAAACAATATGAGAATTTGTTTTGACCTTTGGGCTGCTGGTGTTCTCGGGTGGGCCTTGATTGCTTGGTATGGAGCTAAAAAAATTGTGGGATTCTACTTGGAGTTAGCTCATAAATGCTTGAGCTGAAATTTAGCTCAATGATTGGAGATTAAATGCACTTCCTAGCTCATTAATTCAAAAAGGTATGCTTTGAATTCATTATGGTGGAACTTGTCACTTTCCCTTCCCCATGCTGCCTCTCAGTTTCCTCCTTATCTCCTCGATTTCTCTTGGGTTTTTGTTGTTCCCGTAGCCCTGGCTGTCTTTCTTGTGCCCGCGGTTCGTTCTTTGTGCTGGCTGTTCGGGACCCCTGCTGGTTGGGTTTCCCGTGGCTTCCAACTTGGTCTTCCATGGCCTTTTTGCTCTGTTTCCTGGGTCGTCTTGGGAGCTGTTGTTTTGTGGCTTATGGCTTTTCATTTCCCTAAATCTAATTGGTTTAGTTGGAGGTGCTATGGTTGTTTGGTTCCCCTCTCTTGCCTATATATAGAAGATGTTTTGGAAAGAAAAATGTTGGTGAAAATTGAGATTTTTAGAGTATAAAACCTGCGAGTTTTGTTGGAAAAGCTTGCGAACTTGTTCCACCTCTCCTCTTCTTCTCCTCTAGGATAACTTGCGAGTTATGCCTCCTTCGTCTTGGCTTCTAATCTCTTGTCTCTCTGCAAGTTTCATTCCACTTGTATCCTTCTTCTCAAGGCAAAGCTTCTTTAGGTGTTTGTTTTTATTTCTTAAGTTTGTAAGTCATTTTCTAAGTGTCTTGTAAGCGTCTTTGTTGTAAGTGTCAAAAGTTGTAAGTGCCTTCTTATTATGATATAAAAGGTGTCTCTTTTTTTTAGTATTTTCTATATTTCTATCTCCTAGGAAGGTTTAGCTTTTGCTCGCAAAAATTTGGGATTGGGGGTCTTGGGTTTAGGGAAGAGTGTTTTCTTGTCCCCATTTATTTCACAATGCTTGTGCGACTTCTTAGACACTCTATCTTCTCCTTGAACGCAATTTAGCCAACCCGCATAAATATTGGTTTCTTCTTGTGTTGTTTGGTCTCCTTATTGGTACTTTGTGCATTCAATGTCCTCTATCTTGCCTCCCGGTCGGATTTTTTGGCATAGAAGTAAGTTTTTCCTAACATGGTCAAGGTAAAGCAAGTGTGGAGATTAATTAGTGTAGCATGCAGAGGTTCTTGAAATTGTTAATGCAGAACTCACTTCCATAAAACAAAGTTTCATTTTTCTAGGAACATTTATAAAAATAGCAATCAGATTTGTTATGGGTAAGCAACCAAGTGTGTTAGGGTAGAATCACATAATTCAATAATGTACTTAATTTGTAAACCAAATAGATTCGCCTTATATCTTATACTCCAATCCAAAAAAAAAATCCCAAAATGTGCTTCTTGCATACGCCAAAGCTTCCTTAGGCTAAAGATGACCAAAAAACAATTTAAGCAATCACCTAGCTTCAGCATTACAAAAGCTCCCCCTTCAAAAGTTTTCCTTTTGGAGATGTTAGTTGCCAAAACCCCTTCACCTTTATAATTACTTACAAAACAAACCAGGATGTCCATAAAGGTATAAAAACAATAATTTCCCTTACATTATCTCGAAATGTTATCTTGAAATATGCATAAAACCATGGCCCTAAAATATAAGACTTATTAAATTCATTATGATTTGAGACCATTGAAATTGGTAAAATAGGACAAGCAACAGAAAGAGTGATGGATATGTAGTATTAAGTATTAAAAATGAATATATAAGATTGGTTCTATTTTGTCTCAAGGATGATTGGGAGCTAGCATTGAATGTCGAACGTCATAAAGAAGATTTCAAATGTAACAAGTATACAACTTGCTTTGTTTGCCAATATGTGCTACATAATGCTATGTTATCAAAAGATATTAGTTGATTGTTTTGGTGAAATTTAAATAACAATTCCTCTTTTCATTAAATAAACACATCAACAAATTTATAAATGATGTCAAAATAAAGATTATAATTGTAAATAGCATTACATTTTTCAAGCATAATAGCATCGAATCAACTCACTACATTTGATGGAAAGTAGCATAATACTATTAGAATCTAGATTACACTAATGTTAACTAGATAATTATTGTTATCTAGATAACACCAAACCATGCCTTATTTTGGATAGTAACAAGCAATAGTAATCTTAACATAAAGGTAAAAAACAATAGTTTCCTGTGCATTTTGTCTACAAAATGTTAGAAATTTTTACTCTAGAGCCCACCAAAATGCTCAACTATAAATCTACATATGGTTCCAGCAATATATACAAGAACTTGTAAATTTATTAGGAATAAAGACCATTGAAAGATGCACAAGAATAGAATGAATATGCAACTCAGAAAGAGTGATAAACTGGTAGCGTTCAACAATAACGTATGAGATTACTTCATTAGCTCAAGAATGACCAGTAATTAGCCGTATGTGTTGAACATCACAACAAAGTTTAGCCCCCCCACATGCCTAAGATTGTAAATGCAAAACTTATATTAGTTTTATATTTCGACATCTATTATATAATGTTATGTTTTTAGAGGATATCATTTGTTTGGTTTGGTGACATTATTAAATAACAACTTCATAAATAACATTTAACTATTTAAGAAGGTTATTTGGTTTAATATTTTCTTTGATGTAATATTATGTTAGGCTGTATTGCTTAGAATAAAATTGCTGTTTAATGTTATCTCTCACAAAGGGATTGTATGAATAACAATAGTGGGTAGGAGTATTGTAATCTAAAATAGTGGCCGAATTAGAATGTTATCTACATATTTTCAAACTTTATAGTCAAAAAATAATAAAATTAAAAGAAAGGACATAATCTTCATTGCTTGTTCTAAATAAAATCATGCTCTCTATGTAAGATTATAATGAAACATGCACGCTGCATTTCATGGATAACGCTACTACTTGAATAGCATTATTGTATGCATAACAATGTTATCTAAATAATAGCAAATCAAACGTAATCTAAGTTCTATTATTACGACATTTGGATAACAGCAAATCTACTTTTTAATGATTAAAATAAATGACATAATATTACAACCTTTCTTAAATTCTAATCCTTTTTCAAAAGCATTACATTTTTCAAATATGATATCATTGCATCAAGCGCCCTGCATTTGAAATACACCACTACGACATTAAACAACATTGTTATCTAAATAATGGTGTCGTCTAAATAGAATTGAACCAAACAGCCCCTGGTTTCAGGTCCTCCAAACGCCCCAACAGCGGATATACATTATAAGGAACTTATGTCGGCCTTCCACGAAATTAAGTTTGTTTCGTTAAAAATACCAAACCTAAGATCACAGAAAACGTTACGCTATCAGAACTAAGAAATAATGTTTTAAAAAAAAAAAAAACTTGCCTAACACGGAACTATGAGAATGCTCTTGCTCGTCTTTATAAGATGGACCCGTGTCCTGTAAGAGTTCCACCTCTTTGTAATCCAGAGAGCTACTGGCATCCGGTGCGTCTACATCAACAGAATCATTGAATGCAGCATTAGTACTTATCATTTCCACGCTTTCTGGTGCTCCATCGCTCCTCAGATCATCCACAGCCGTCCTAAAGACCGGCGATCCATCTCCCAGCCGACCTGATCGATCACGCGGAGACTCGTGCGAATTGGCAGCAGGCGGCGCCTCCGCAGAGCTCTCGACGAACCCGTCCGGAAGCGAGTCTGCCTCCGGTAGACGGTTCGCCGGGTGGGTTTCCATGTTCGGTACAGATGTGCGAAATAGATGAAAAACGTGGAGAAAAGCAGCAGAAAAAAGATTTTCGAAGATATTATGTTAGGGCCTTTGTTCTTATTGAAGCGTGTAGACCTCCGGCGACGCGGGCTAACCTAGCGGAGCTGATCCGAAATGATTAGCAAGTGGAGTTTAGGTAAAACTCCTCCATTTAGAATACCCATCCATTACGTCTAGTTAGACTCGTTTGCAGGTTGCAATATTTTGATGGCATAAGAAATTTAGGAGATTTTTCATTTATGTCATAATTTTTTTATTATATATTTAAATATGTATATTTATTTATATATTATTTTAAGAAAATGCATATAATAATTAATTTAAATTAATATTATATAATATATTTTAATATTTTTAAATTAATTCTATATTAAAAATTAAAATTTTCTAAATAAAACATATTTTTTTTAATTTAAACTAAGAAATAGAGCTCAACAATTGAGTCAAGCTCGAGCTTTCTAAATGAGCTCGAGCAATCAGTCGAGCTCAAGCCTATTAACTTTTTAATGAGCCGAACTTAAGCTCTATAACAGCTAAACAAGCTTAGCTCAATCAAGCAGATACTCAACCCTTAGGAGCTACTGATAGGTTAATGATTGTTAGTGATCTCATGGCTATTGTAAATGTAATTTTGATGAATGATATAGTGAAAGTATTTCAATCTATATGATATTTAATTGCTTTCGTTGGCTATTGAGTTATATTGATGATGTTTAGAAGCTCTAATAAATGATTAAAAAATATAAAATAAAAATTTATTTCAAATTTGATTCAGTGGCATGACACAATTGCTCTTAGTTCGTACAAACTATGTATAAATCATCAAAGAGGGAGGAGGGTAGTTGGTCTCCCTTCCATACCGATTTAAACATGTATGAATCCATCAATTTTATCTTGCTTTGGGTAGTTTAAGGTCTAAACATGCTTAAAATCATGTGATTTTGGTTCTATTTGATTTATATCTTCAAATTGTACCGTCTCGATTATAAAATTGCTAAAGTTAATGACTTCTGAAATAATTATCAAAGATTTATAATTTGAGTTTGTATGTTATTTATATTAACATAAATCATGCAAAAATTGTGATTGATCAAATTAATTTTGTGAATCATATTAATTACATGTTACAAAACTTTAGCATTATTTTTAGACATATAATTCAATTGAGTAACAAATGGAAGGATAACACAAACATTGAAGAGTAAGATGATAATCTCTTTGGAAATGAAAAAAACTCTATTATTCTATTTGAGAGATTTAAGTCTTTAGTCAAATGTTTAAGAAGGTGCAAGCTTCTGTTCAGGATATATAGAGATAATTTTAATATTTTAAGTCATTAATTAGTAGTTGAAAGACAGCTGGTAATAGATGAAATAATTTGATAGATGGCTGAAAAATAAAGATTATCATGATGCTTTTCGAATATAATAATAAAAGTTTAAAAAATAAGAAATGCTACAAAGATATGGTGGTCTATAACCAAGACAAGGAACATCTACTGGGGAATATATTTAAAGTTTTTTTTTTTTTTATCATAGGTAAATGATGAGAAGAAAGTATGCTGTTGCACACTATACAGCAGACTTAAGCTTTATTTATGATAGTTTTTTTATTGCTTTATAAAGCTATTTTTCAATGCAAGAAATTATAGTTTAAGAAAATTTTGAATTACAAGTTACTTTAGAAAGTAATAAGAAAATTGTCACAAACTAAACATCAAGCAATACGAAAGCAAGCAATGTAAAGAGCTTGTAACTCACACATAAAGCTAAAGGTATCAAAACGGGTCAACAAGTCAGGTTTGGGTTCAACCTGAATTGACACGTCCAAAAAGGTTGGCCCAAACCCGAACCTACATGCGAACTCGGACTACTGGAAGTAGGTGAAACGTGAATGGTGCAGAGCGTTGCAGGTTGGCAAACAGGTGTGGTTCGTGCTGACGAAGCAAGTCAAGGACTACATGTGAAGCGGGTGAGGTGCGTTGGTCAACCGGGTGGACACAGATTGATTCAATCAAATGAAATATACTGAATGCTGGCGGGTGAGGTGTGCCATTCCTGATCGGGTTAGTCGGTGCAGTGTGGAGCAAGCACAGACGAAGCGACTAGCGGGTGCGGGGCCTATGGGCTAGGTTGGCGGACGCGACAGAGCTGGGATTGAGCGTGACAGAGGATTTCAGGTTTCTAGGCTAGGGTTTCCGACTCATTCGGGTTGCTTTAGGTTTCTGGTTCAACTCGAATCCTACTCGATTTTAAAAACTTGTCAGAATCTCAAACCCGAATTTGACCCATATGGCAAACATGTTGATCCAAACCCGAAAATTTTCAAGTCAGGTCCGGATCTGATTTTGTGCTAGGTCAAAATTTGACACCCTTGCATACAACAAAAATAGAGTGGTTTGATTGCATAACTTGTATCCGACAACTAAAGAAACCAAAGGATTTCTTTGCACGAGTGGACAAATATAATACAAAGATTACAACTTCACTCTCTCAATAAAGAAAAAAAATAGTTGTATATATTTGAAATATTCTTGTCCCTGTTGAAAGATTTAATCACAACTATTTTAATAATATTTATCTAAAAAGCAGAATTAAATTTTAATTTTAAAAATAATGAAAATCTTACGTATATTTATAATAATTAATGCTAAATCAAAATTAATCATATCATCAATATCATAATGTATATTAGGCTTATCATATATTGTCAATGTCTATCTTTATTATCAAAGTCTTTACATCTCTATTACTTAATAGCCACGATGGACGTGGAGGTCGCCGGAGAAGGCTATGACGGTGCCGGCGGTGACAATGGTGGTCGATGGTGGTGATAGTGGTGGCTGGTGGCTACTACACGAACAATTATTACGTCCTCCGACCGGACGTAGAGGAACGTCCGGTCGGAGGCAAATTCCTGCCAAAAAACGAGTTGTACTGAGCAAATACCGAGCAATATCAAACAATTACGAAGAATACCATCATTTGAAGATCCAATACCGAGTTATACCGGGCTTTACCGAGCAAATACCGAGTTATACCAAAGTTGTACCGAATTTTTCCCAGAAAAACTCTGTACAACTCGGTATTTCTCAGTACAGCTCGATATAACTCGGTATTGGTCTTCAGAGAACGGTATTCCTCATTATTATCAAATAATACCTAGTTGTACCGAGCAAATACCTAATTTTTTGTCCGGAAATTACCTCTGACCGGACATTCCTCTGCGTCCTTGCACCGGACGTAATAAAAGTTCCTACTACACTGGTTGGTGAGAGTGGGCGACGGTGGTGGTTGATGGTGGCTGTCGGTGAGCGGAGGTGGCTGATGGTGGTTGCTGGCCGGTGGATATTTCTTTTTGGCATGGAACCCCCTTAATTGAGATGGGGCAATGAGGTGACAATGCTTTAAAAATATTTCAAATCGAAAGAATTTCTAATACATCAAAAATAAACTAGAATATAATATAGTGAATTTACTTTACCTTAAATTTATTTTTACCAAATTATCAAAATCCTGTATTTGAATTACTTGCACCCTAAAATCTCAATTCTCACATTCCATATTTCTTCACCCGGGAAAGGAAATGGTCGGGCCCGGCCCGGCCCGACCCGTTCTTCCATAGTCTCGCTTTTTCTGGGTCCGTGATCGCGACGCCGAAGAGGCCGCGCCATGGAACTTTTTCTCCGCCGCCCTACATGCGTATTGCTCATCCTCGTCCTTCTGCCGATCGCTTTTCGTTGTTCGAACGGAGAAGTGGTCACTCTCACCGCCGATACGTTCACAGATAAGGTACTGTCGCATCTCCGATCCGCCCTATGGAATCTTTCTAGCCTCTTCTCCTTGTTTATTTTGTCCTATCCAAGAGTATTTATTAGCCGATCTTCTTTCATTGTTGATCTACTTTTTTGTGCTTTATTGTTCATTTGATTAAGTCCTGCCAATTTGAAAACTTCTGCTCTTTGCGTGAGCGAATCACGTGAGTTCGGCTATTTTTGACGGAAGAGAGGATCCTGTTTAATTTGGACAGATTTTGGTGGTGATGGCAGGATTTGATTTAGTAATAGGAATCAGGAAAGGGCTTTATGGAGTATTAATGTTAAGCTCGAAACGAAACATATATATGTTTTTTCTGATTTCCATTATGTATCAGTCTTTGTAGAAAATTGAAGTCCACGCACTTGTTGATATCAGTCCAAACATCGATGAGCGATATTACTGTGATGTCAACTTGTCATCAACGTCAAGGCTTGAATGGGATTTGATGCGTGTTTTAACTGATAGTTTCCTTGTTGTTAGGGTTATGAGCCTATGATCTAAGATTTTTACAAGGCGCGTACATTCATGAGGAATAATTGGGTATCGCAGTTTGTTTAATTATATGATAATCACAATATAGGAAAGCCTTTTTTTCTGCGAATGTATGCGTTCAAGGGAAAGATTATTGCAGGTGTCTTGTTTTCACCTTAATATATTAATTGGTATATTTGGACTCCCAGTTTTCTGTCCATTCTACAGCCAATGCCATCTGCATACTTTGGTTTGCGAGGTGATGTTTTTGTTATGTATACATCTCTTGAGCTCCATGCATTCCCCCTTGTAGCTTAGTGTATCGATGGATCTCATACAGTGTTAGGGAATGAAAATAAATTTATAATAAGAGCTTTTCACATGTTTAAGTATGAATTGATTGCTTCATCTTGTAGCTTAGCTCCCAATTCTCAATTCCTGCTTCTTCTTACATAGCCATACCTCAATTCCTTTTTTCATTACATATCCCATTCATGTTGTAATTGTAATATTTACAATGTGTTTATCTCTCCTCTAAAACAAGATATTTGTCATAAGCTCCTAAAATTGACATTTTCATGTAACTTTCCATTCTCAATATTATTTTGTTGAAAGAAGTAGAAGAGCAGCACAAAACTCAACACAAAGGCTCAATCAATTGTGTAGTTCGGTGAGATTGTCTCAGCTAAGCCCACAATTTCCGAAAGAAAATATTCCATTATAGTTCAAAAGAGTATATCACAATCTTATCTTACGTGCAATACTCTAAATTCAAAAAATAGCAAGGAGAAAATAAAAAGAGAGCTATTTTTTAGTATGCCTTAACTTCACACCCTCATAGCAATCACTTGACTGCCTCAATGGTATAGAATATGCATTAGAAAGGTGGATCCCTCCCCCCCTTTTTTTAGTAAAAAAGAAAAAACCTGGCCGAACTTCTAAAAAGCAGCCCGCCCGCTTCCATAGAAAAAGATCGTGGCAACGTAGACCTAAGTGGGTTTATTGGATCCTCGGGAACCATCACAAGTACGGCCGGCCTATAGAACGAGAATGCCGTGGTGTCGTCCAGCGGAGCTTAGAAGAAGGTTACTCGGAGCCTAGAAAAAGGAAGGTTACTCGCGCAGACAGCTGACTCCTTTTCAATAGAAAGGAATAGCCAAACCAACCCAGCTGACTGTGAAATATCAGCGATCTTATCGGCCGGCAAACCGGAGACGGACGACCACGGTCCCGACCTTACCAGCACCGTAGGTTTACTAATAAATGAAGCCCCTCCACCGTAGGTTTACTAAATAGATTATTTCACTTTCACTTCCACATTGATCGTCTTTCGACACTACCTTGTTGTCGGTCTTTGGCATTGTCATTGCAACCTTGTTGATGGCTCTTGACAATCCTTCAATGACATTTGCTATAGTATGCTGACATTTTCCATCACGGTAATGATTTGACATGCAATTCGATGGCTTCAACAATTTCATCACAAATCTAAAGATAGGAAATGTTTTATTTATTTATTTATGTCTAGTCCTCTATGCATGCATCTTCTATAATAATTCTTCCATTGATAAAAAAACATGGAATTTGGTGAAGCCAATATGATGTAGAATTATATATATTTTTTGTATGCAATCAATAATTGGCTTTTATTTAGCTTGCATGCAAAGGTGGTGCTGATCCTTGTCTCCGGAAGGGAGAAGAACCGCGACCAGCTTCTCGGTAGAGAAACTTCACCTAGACTCTTACCTGCTTGACCGCTTCACCCCTTGGCCTAGCCAAGTTACAGACAACGGACGAGAGAGAGAGAGAGTAGGGAAAACAAAACAGGGAACTGAGCCAAATCCGAAATCTGTCTTATTAACGTTTAAACTCAATATTTATACACAGACAAGCCTCAGGCCAAAACAACAGAGGCCATTTATTTAACTACACCAATCAAAGAAAAATAAGAAAAGAACTACTCTGCTATTAAGCCCCTGCGTCATTCTACCGGGGTGGGGAAGAACTCCTCCACATTGTAGTGGGGAGTTAAATCCGAGACATTAAAAACAGCCGAAATGTTGTAGTCGCCCGGGAGGTCTACTTGATAGGCATTGTTATTGATCTTCTTTATAATCCTGAAGGGTCCATCGACTTTGGGCTTAAGCTTGCTGCACGCGCCCGCGGGGAACCTCTCTTTCCTCAGCTTGATCCAAACCAGATCGCCTTCGTGAAACTGAACTTCTCGCCGGTGCTTATTAGCTTGGTTTCAGTATTTCTCATTCTGCCTTTCTATCTCTTTTTGTACATGCTGGTGTAATTTTTGGATTTCCCTACAGCGCTGTTCAGCTTCCTGGCTGTACGTCGGCGAGTTTCTAGCTGGAATTAAATCACAGGGAGTCAACGGATTGCTGCCATACACAACTTCAAATGGACTGTGCCCCGTTGTTTTATTTGGCGAGCGATTGAATGCGAATTCAATCTGGGGTAATATAAGGTCCCATTGCTTGGTGTTCTTCCCTACAAAACATCGCAATAAATTGCCCAAATTGCGATTTACTGTCTCCGTCGGTTTGCGGGTGGGCTACCGAACTAAATTGAAGTCGCGTACCCAGTTTTCCCCATAAACTACGCAAAAAATGACTAAGAAATTTAACGTCTCGATCGGAGGTAATTGACTTTGGTAGGCCATGGAGTTTGACAATCTCCCTAAAATATAAATCGCCAAAATGAGTCGTATCGAGAGTTTGCTGCAGGCTACAAAATGGGCCATTTTGGGGAATCTATCCACAACAACCATAACAGAGTCTTTGCTCCTTTGGGTGCGCGGTAACCCCAGAACAAAATCTATACTGACATCCTCCCATGGGCCGAGAGGTACTGGAAGGGGCAGATATAGACCAGCATTAGTCACCGGCGTTTTGGCTATCTTACATACTCGACAACCTCTCACATAGCGAAGTACGTCTCTTCGCATGGTAGGCCAGTAGAACTTCTCCTTTAGCATTGCCAAGTTTTATCACGTCCAAAATGTCCAGACAACCCTCCATCATGGAATTCCGAAATAAGAGCAAGTCGAAAAGAACCTTGCGGAATGCAAAGACAAGATCGGAAAAAGAGAAATCCATCTTGAATATGAAACAGTTGATGAGAACTGTTTTGACAAGCGGTCCATACCGACTGGAAATCAGAATCAGTAGCATACAGGTCTTTAATACTGTCAAACCCGACCACCTTGGTGTGTAACGTCTGCAGCAGAACATACCTTCGGCTTAGGGCGTCGGCGACCTGGTTGTGTTTCCCGGATTTGTGTCTAAGTAGGAATTGGAAGGCGGACAGTGACTCAACCCAAGTGGCATGGCGTCCTCGTAGTTTCTTCTGACTGTCCAAAAATTTGAGGGCGACGTGGTCGATATATAGGACAAATTCTTTACAAAGAAGATAGTGGTTCTAGTGGTGCAAGGCACGGACTATGGCGTAGAACTTGTCGTACGTGGAGTATTTTTGTCTAGCTTCGTTCAACTTTTCACTGAAATAAGCCACGGGTTGCCCCTCCTGGCTCAATACTGCACCGATGCCCACATTAGAGGCGTCGCAATCCACTTGGAACACTTTGCTGAAATCAGGTAGGCGTATAACCGGGTCAGATGTAATCTTCCTCTTTAGCTCCTGAAAGCTGAATTGAGCATCCTCCGTCCAAGCGAAGGACTCAGATTTAAGTAGATTTGTAAGGGGAGCAGCCACCGAGCTGAAATTGGCGACGAATCGCTTGTAAAAGGATGCCAAACCAAGGAACCTGCGCACTTCGGTTACAGAACTTGGGATGGGCCAACTATTAATGGCTTCCACTTTGCTCGGGTCCACCTCTATTCCCATGGCAGAGAGAATGAATCCCAAAAATTGGATTCGAGTGTCCAAGAATCGATACTTGTGGGGATGGCAATATAACTTCTGTTCCCGCAGCAGAGTTAGCACTTGTCAGAGATGGTGTAGGTGGGTCTGTAAGTCTGAGCTGTAGACCAAAATATCGTCGAAGTAGACTACTTCGATCACAAATCGGCTCAAGAAGGGTTGGAACAACTGGTTCATGAGGCGCATAAACGTGCTTGGGGCGTTGGAGAGTCCGAACGGCATCACCAACCACTCATACAGTCCGTCCCTCACCCTGAAGGCAGTCTTCCACTCGTCACCTTCCCATACCCGAATTTGATGGTATCCGCTTCTCAAATCTAGTTTGGAAAAGATTGTAGACCCCTTGTAATTGATCGAACAAGTCATCGATTCTGGGAATAGGAAAACGGTAGCGGATAGTAATTTTATTTAAGGCTCTACTGTCGATGCACATTCTGTAGCTGCCGTCCTTCTTGGGTACAAGCAGTGCGGGTACCGCACCGCACACGGACTAACACTAGGGCGGATGAAGCCTTTGGATAACAACTCCTCAACCTGCCGCTGTAATACCATGTGCTCGTCGGGCCTAAGCCAGTACGGTGGCCTGTTGGGCAAGACAGCCCCTGGTAGCAAATCCACAGCATGTTGCACATCCCTTAGGGGTGGTATTCCCACGGGGAGTTCCTCAACCCACACATCCTGGAATTCATCCAGAAGGGGTTGTACTTCACTGGGTAGCTCTGTTTGAGAGGTAGTGCTCTCCTTGAGCAATAGGAGGTATCCACCCTCTGTTTGTTGAAGGGCTAGTTGGCATTCGGCCTTCTTAATCATTATTGGATCCTTAGTGGATTCTTTCAAATGAGGGTCCAAAGGCATTAACAACAACTGCTCTCCGCCGTGAGACACCGTATAAGTGTTGGCGGCCCCATCATGGTAAGCCTGCCGATCATATTGCCACGGGCGACCCAACAATAGGTGACAGGCATCCATGGGCAACACGTCACACCAAACTTGATCTTGGAATTTGCCAATTGAGAACGAAACTAGACAACGTTTTGAGACCTCGACCTCCCTACCTCGTTGGATCCAAGATAGTTTATAGGGCCAGGGATGGACTTCAATGGGGATCTATAACTTCTGCACCAAGGCACAAGAAGCTATGTTCTCACAGCTGCCATTGTCAATAATGATTTGGCATACTCGATTTTTGATGGTGCACCTTGTTCGGAAGAGGTTGTGGCGTTGGACGGGCTCTTCCCTTTGGGTATTAAGCAACCGGCGAAGGACCAACAACTCGCCGTCATCAGCACAAATGACTGTGGGTGCAGGCGATACTCCTGTTTCCTCCATATCTACTTCCTTCAGTGGGGCTGCGTCAACTTCCAATTCTTCTTCTTCAATAATAGTGATTACCCTTCGAGTAGGACAGTTGGACGCAATATGTCCATATCCTTGACACTTGAAACATTTGCGCGCCTACGTTGCACTGGCAGCATTCGAAGGCGGGTTCCACAATTGCCCTGCTGATTGTGACGGGATTGGTTTCTTGTGAGACGTGGACGCCCCATTCTTGGAATTCTGGACTTGTTTGCCTTCCCATATTTCTCTGGGTCTAGGATGACTAGACGGCGTGGTCTTTTGATGTTTTTCCACTTTTAACGCCAAATTGATGACGTCTTGGAGGGTCCAGAAGGGTTGTAATTGCACCACATGGGCAATGGCGGGCTGGAGACCATCCAAGAACCTTGCGATCGTGTTCTCCTCTGGCTCGATGAGGTCACATTTTAAGGCCAGTTGTTCAAACTCAGCTGCATACTCCTCAACGGATAACTGACGCTGGTGCAGTCGGTGAAGCCTCAAGAACAGTTCTTGTCGGTATGGTTCCGGAAGGTATTTGCGCTGCAGTTCTTTCTTCATCTTGTCCCAATCCGTGATCTTGGACTTACCTTCTCTGGCTCTATTGCGCCTCAGATTTTCCCACCAAAGTGAAGCGTTCTTTCGAAGCTTGATCGCAACTAGCTTGACAATTCTTTCAGCAGCCACTTCTTTGAACTCAATAATTCGCTTTACAGTATGTATCCAATTCAAGAATTCATCCGGATCGAGCCTTCCCTCAAATTCAGGGAGATCGATCTTAATCTCGCCATCCTCCCTGAAGGCCGGACGGACTCGCCTGTGCCGTCGACGAGGGTCTTCTTCTTCGTTGGAGGTATCCTGGTGGAAGGGATTAACATCATCTTCTTCTTGATGGCTCTCTGCATCTTGTTGCTCTCTTCGGGCCAACTCTTGTTGCAATCGGCAGACCTCATGTTGCAAATCTTCCACCACAATGTCACGGACAGGACGTTGGCGATTACGTCGAGGAGACATCTTGCCGGCTCTGATACCAAATGGTGCCGATCCTTGTCTCCGGAAGGGAGAAGAACGGCGACCAGTTTCTCGGTAGAGAAACTTCACCTAGATTCTTACCTGCTTGACCGCTTCACCCCTTGGCCTAGCCAAGTTACAGACAACAGACGAGAGAGAGAGCCAGCAAAATAGGGAACTTAGCCAAATCCGAAATCTGTCTTATTAACGTTTAAACTCAATATTTATACACAGACAAGCCTCAGGCCAAAACAACATAGGCCATTTATTTAGCTACACCAATCAAAGAAAAATAAGAAAAGAACTACTCTGCTATTAAGCCCCTACGTCAATAGCTCTCTCTTTTTTTCTTTTTTTTGGGGGGGGGGGGTGCGGTGTTCAAAGCCATAAGTTGCACTATGTAGATCTCCTCCAAATCACCATGAAGAATATTGTCTTAACATCTGACTGCAGATGCTACAACTTCTTTGAAACTATTATGCTCAGTACCCTTATAATAGTAGTTAAATTGACAATAGGATGAAAAATGTTATTAAAGTCGATACCTTTGTTCTTCTTATTCTTTTTATTTCCACTATTCTCTTTCTTGATTTTGGAAATCTATTTATTTTGTAATGCTCTTTATCCTTTAGTACTTGAGCTAATGTCAAAGTTTTATTTTATACAAAGGGTACTCTCCTCTTTATTGTCACGTCCCACTTGACAAAGTATTTAATTTGCATTGCCTGTTCAAAACACTCAGCTTCACCAAAACCATTTAGCAATAAATAATGCAAAAAATGAGAATATTTTTGTGTTGAGTTAACCACAATTATATCACATATGTATTCAACAATGACCGTCTTAACACTTGTAGGAGCTTGTTTGCATCCTTCTTATGCAGTAACTTTAGAAATCTTCTCTAGCTTAATCCCTTCTCTCATGTTGGCATATTCCATGACATAGGTCAATCTGGATGCATGCATGATTGCTTCATTAATATCATTCATATTTTTGATGGTTTTTGATTTTGATCATCTCATAATATGAATCCGAAGTGCCAGTTACATTTCCAATGAAATACATTTTATAGACTTAAGGCCTAATGGAATCCACATGCTCACAAGAAAGATGCTAAAAAAAAAGAAGAAGAAATGTTGACCTCCTTGCTAATTCGAACTTCATTTGTTAGTTCATAGCATCAAGTAAGGGTCCACTATTGATTATCTGATGTTAAATTGTCAACGTTGTTGCATAAGCCCATAATAAGAGGTTAAAAACAACTGGAAATGTAATAGGACTACTTTTTCGAGCTGTCATAATGATTGCTAATCAATTCCAAAGAAACCTTAATGTAGCATCCTTGCTATAGTTGACTTTTCCTCTGTTTTTGCACTCAATTTGCTGTGAACAGCTAGCGTTGCTCCTCAACCTTAATATCCTTATTCTGAACCGCATGCACTTTGTGTAAGTCATCCTTGGTTCAGTTATCTAGGTCTTTCCCCTTACTGGAGAGTTAGATTTTTTAGTTTACTAAATTATGAGGATTGAGTGAAAATACTAGTTGTCTACTTTTTCGAACTGTGGTGAAATATTTTTCCTAAAATCATGGTTATAATGAGATAATCTTGTAAAGCCACATATTTCAGTCGCCTTTTGTGTTGAGTTTTCTCCTCATTTTGCTTACCACCTTACTTTTACCATACAAACCTATTGATTTATGCGTCCTAGAAGCAAGTCCTGCATTCTGGTTTAGAAATTGGTGAACATTACTCTTTTTAGTTGCTTCTCTTCAGTTTTTGTTCATTTTAGCATAGTTTTTTTTTTGGTGTTTGCGTGAGCTGATTGTCCGTACATTTATTATGCTATATAAATTGCGTGTCATATCTATGAATTAAGTTGTACTTATTCGACTCCATTGTACTCATACAGTCATATTACCACATTATCTCCTTGTTTTCTTTTTTCATTCAATCTAAAATTTTCCTTAACTCTGGATCCAGTTAATGGTTCATGCATCCCTAGTTTGGATTAATTCCCTGCTCTGAGCTGGTCAAGTTTGATTACTATGTAGATATTTTGACAATATTGCTTGACCTGAAGCTACGGCATCCTCTCCCAAAAAAAAAAAATAAATAAATAAAACATGTTACTTGAAATTTTACTTTTATTTCGACGAGTGTTGAACAGCAGGTAGTTATTGAGTTTTTTCTCCCAATTTTAAATTGGTAGCAGTTCCTTTTGATTGTGGCTTTTAAATCAGTCTTTAAATAGTTTTGGTATCAAAGTTGATAACTTTTTTGCAAGGTTTGGCGTCATAATGCATCGAAATAACTATTCTACGTGAAGGGGATTCTACTTGCAACAACCCTTATTTCTAAGTTTTGTTTGAGGTCTCATATTTTATCAGTTTAACCGAGCTTTTTACATTGTCATCTAATTTCTTGGTATGATGTTTAGCTTATCATCTGGGCTTATCACTGCAGGTTAAGGAGAAAGATACTGTGTGGTTTGTGAAGTTTTGTGTTCCTTGGTGTAAATATTGGTAAATTTTTTATGGATTTGATTTTTCTTATTTACTAGTGAAATTAGGAGCATTGATCATCTACTGGTAAAACATTTTTTTGTTTTGAAAACTGAAGATTGTTCTGTACAAATATCTTTCGTAACATACTAGATTAATTTTATCTTCCATCTAATTTATTTTTTTGCAAAATATGAGTATTTCAGTAAAAAATTAGGAACACTTTGGGAAGACTTGGGAAAGGCTGTGGAAGCTGAAGATGAGATAGAGGTAGGAGAGGTTGATTGCAGTCTGAACAAAGCAGTATGCACCAAAGTGGATATTCACTCATATCCCACTTTTAAGATATTCTATGATGGAGAGGAGTTTGCGAAATACCAAGGTGAGTTGAATTACGAAATACATGTTAATGTTTTCATATAAAGTTTAGTGGCATCTGGTGTTTTTGATTCATGGCAAACAACTCCAACAGCATAATATATTTGCTTAGCTAGTTTACTGTCCAAGATTTAATTAAGTAAAACAGAAATTAAATCATTAAAAATTTGCATATGAATAATCTCTAAAGCAATTTAGTTATTCCACATGGAGTATGATGTTTACCTACCACATTTTCAAAAATCAATGCCAAGTTCTGGAGGTGACATGAGTTTAGTATTAAAGAGATTGGTCAGAATATTGCTCTAAGACACAATATTATAGGAAACAGTTGAAGATCTCAATAATTTCCTAGCAATTTTTGGAAATAGCAAGAATTCTACAAAAAAAATCCGCACAAAATCAGGAAAACAGTAGGTAATTTGTATTATTTGATGAAATAGAAATAGAAAATACTAAGATACAAATCATACAATTGTTCCTCTATTCGAGAGGAGGATCTATCTCTTCCAAATCTTTAGACGTAGCTAGAGCACAAAAAAAACCTAAATCTAGGAGATATGAAATTTTCAGCCAAATTCAAGATGCCCTAATCCTAGGAAAACAAACTATTTAATGCATACAATCCAAAAGGAAATATCTAAACATTCCCTACATTCAAATTTCCCTCCTAACTCCCTAAAAAATCCTTCCAAAACAGTGCGGTTTGGGCTGGGCGTGCGAACGGTGCGTACAGGAGGCGAACATTCTCCGCTTGTTTCGCATAGGCCGGACCGGCTGGACCGGTCCAATAATTGATGATCATCTATTGTTTGAAATCATGCATCCCTTTATTCCACTGTGTGAAAGAGCCAAGTTGTACATGTGAAAAATGAACCATGTCTAATGTCTTTGTGTTTAATGGGCCAGAACTCCATAGTCTAGCGAGCATAAATGCCAGGGTGCTTAAATAAATGAATTAAATGTATCAAAATTTTTTATTTATGGTTGGGGATGTCAGTGGGTGGGGGTGTTATGGTGGGTCGGGAACTGGTTTGGCCTGTGGATTGGTACTTTTTTGCACTTATATTAGTCAGATATTTGTAATGACATCCAGTTGCAATAGTGATGGTGCTGTCCAAGTATATACGACTTAATATACAAAAATGTGATTACTGTGATTTTTTGTATGCCATGTATAAGCATTTATATACCAACATCAGAGTTTTAGGTTTTGTTTGGGAAGACTTTCTTACTGCTTTCTAAAACAGTTTTTTAGTTAAAAATTTTGTTGAATTAGAAATTTTTGTACTATAAAGCTGCTTTAAAAAGAAGAAAAAAGCTGTCCTAAATGAAGCCTTAGATTAGAAATTATGTAAGCACTTGGTTGGTACTATTATTCTGGAGAAATTATTCCGGACTTGTGAGTGTATACACTGTGAATAAATTTGTACACAGTATGTATCAAATTTTTATGCACATTGTTTGTACATAGTTTGCACACTCATAGTCCGGATGGTTCTTCCCATTCAGATTTCACACAGAATAATTTATTGTTATTTTGAGATTACCATGATATAAAATTTCCCCCCTATTAAAAACTTATTGGCCAACAAAAACAAAACAGAGGAAGGAAATTGAAGATGTTTGAAAATGCAGATCAGTTCAAGTCAATATTATGTTATATATTATTATGAATATCAGTGCCCCTATTGCGCTGTTGAAATAATTTTGCTTATTCAGAACTTCGTTGCTCATAGTTTCCTTCTTAAAAATGCAGGAAAAAAGGATGTTGAGTTACTTAAAGCATTTGTTCTGAAGGAAGCAGATAAAGCTACAAAATCTAACCTGGAAGATGATCAGGATGAGTTATGATATGTGATCGAATTGTTTCATTCCCACTTGGATTTAGTTATTGTTTCAAATTTCACCTTCTTAGTATTTAATAATTTTTTGAAGTGCTTTTGTCACCCTTTTTTTGGTGCTATTTACTGCATGTTACAGTAACTTGGTTTTTTGTTGTGAAAATTTTAGTTAAAATTCACATTTTGGGACTGTACATCTACTGCATTGATATGAACAATCGCTAAATGATTTGTATTATATTTTTATCGCAAATAATATGCATAATTTATCTATTTATTTGATATTTCTATTATATTTATCTCAAGCTACATCTACTGCATTAAATTCAGATAGTATGCATAATTATATTTAAATAAGTTACATCTATTGCATTAATATAAGCAATCATAACGTTTTAATTTATATTTATCTTTTTATTGATATATATAGTCTAATTTACAAGAACATGGGATAAATATAAATAATTTTTACGGGCTGCTTGGTTTGCTGTATTTAGGGTGCAAAGTAATCTAAATGCATGGGTTTTAGAAATTTTGATGTTTAGCTTGAAGTAAAGAAAATATAGTGTAAAAGAAGTGCTTTGCTAGTAACCAAGGAGTATGGTATATGAATGCCAGTAGCCTAGATTAGAGACCTTCATTACATTTTGAAGAGGCGATGGTCTACCATCTGCCCAAGTGGTAGAGTGAACTTTATAATTTGTGTGATAGAATAATTGCTGCAAAGATTCATACCTTGTGTGAAACTTGTTTAAGAATTTTATTAAGATGAACAATTAATTTACTTAGATTTAGTAATATTTAATAATTTTCATGTAATTTAGGATTTAATGACCTAATGATTTATTGAAGTTGAATTTAGAAGATTTACTTGGCTGTTTGCCTGCAAGTGGAGAATATAAAATTCTTGGAATAGTGAAAAAAAAAATCCAAATAAATTTTGAGTTTTATATGAAAAACAAAATCAACAATATAATTATCTCAAACATATCCTAAGATTAACAAGACTAGTCAAATCAAGTACTAATGCATAAAAACTTGAGCAATAAATAGCACACAAGATTAAAGAACCCAACTAAAATTGTCAGCCACTCATCTTTATTCAGAATTTAAATATTATGGTCAATTCGAAGAAATGAAGTTGTATTTATGGTCACCAACAATAGGTTAGTATTATATTTGAGGCCGTCTTCAAGAAAGGCTCATCTTTTCCGTCCATGGTTATGGAGGCTCATCTTTTCCGTCCATGGTTATGGTCACCGACCTTAGCTTCTTTACTTAGGTACGGAGTGGGAGGAAGATTTTCATTTGAGAGTCATTTCCTTGAAAGGCTAGTTAGGGACTGTTCAATGCTGTACTATTCTTCCAACTCTCACAGTGAGCATCATCGGACGTACACAACTCATCTTAATCTATTAGTTAAGAGCTCAGACTTTCAACTAAGAGGTCTTGAGTTTGAATCTTTGTGTATATGTTGTGTGTATGAATTTGTCTTAAATGACCTAAATGCTAAAAAAAAAGCATCATCGGACGTGTAACCTTTAATGGTATAAAACATAAAATCCCTCTAGATTTGAAGTAGTTCATCATCCAATAAAACAAGATATTTGGCGATGTTATGGATAATAATTTTGTTGGGATTCAAAGGCTTGGTCAAGACCCATTAAGGAGAAGCCCGGAAAAATTAAGTGGGCTAGTGACGACATATGGCTCCAATGCGGGCACAATGCTTGGAATTTATGGAAAAATATATAAAAGGGGATTTATATACATATCATTTTGTTTTATGTTATTTTTATATCTAATATATAAAATTTTAATATTATATGGCTACCACTCATAGAATAAATATGTGTGCATGAAATGAAATATTAAAGTGAATGGTATGGGTGGTAAGAATGAAATATAGAAGTGATATATATTATATTTGATATTAAAATTTTATATGAGTGATAGGAATGTAATATTAAAGTTTTGGACGTTAGATATATAAATAACATAAAATAAAATTATATATGTAAATCCCCAAAATAAAAATATTCTTTCTAATTTTGAAGCAAGTTATCCCTATAACATTTCAACGGGGCTAGAGCGTTAAAAATGAGAGATTATTCTGTGCGGAGACTGGACGTAGAAAGTCATATAGAGATCAACCATAATGCGCCACATCAGCAATACCAAGTCACGATACCGAGCAGTACGGAGCAGTACCGAGCCGTGGTGCGGTGAAGTGATGCATTCTGGTTGGTCTCCGGACGACGTTCTGCATCAGCACAAAATAATTAATAGTTAAGAAGAGACTAAAGACTAAAATATTAATGGTTAAAAGGTTAGAGTTACCTA